TGCCGGCTTCTATACACCGATTTAGGAACTACTGATTCCTAACGGATCTCAAATTTTACGCTGACTAAAAGCCAGGTGTTTACAAGCTGGCAGTATCAAGTGTGAACTTGAAAAACACGTCCGATGACAAGGTCAAAGAGCTCTTTATGTTCAGGTCGAAAACAGGAAGGATGGTAAAAGCGCAAACCAAGATAACAAAACGGGGGAATCGCGTATCACAATATGAAAATAGAAGAAAGGAACCCACGCAACCAACCTCTGCCAGCAAGGCGGAAGCGTAGCAGCAACACATCAGCCAATCCTCACATTTCAAAATTGAGATATACGCCACCGACGAAGATTCCGGGGAAATTACCAACGATTAAACCCCATACAACCAAGAAAGCAACGACTTTGGACAGTTCGAGCAACACAATGGTTAAGAAGCGGTTAAGCAAGAATTTCACTCATTTCTATGGAAATGGTTTGAATTTTTATGCATGTGAGGGTTTTGCGGGGGGTGAATTGTTCAGTTTCACATCACTCTCGTTTTGAACAGTCATCCTCCTTTCCTGACGCAATTATTCAATTGAATCCACGCCGAAGTGGGGGGAAGCACTTGACTCGAGTTTTGCTCTTGTTAGAGCTCATCAGCAGTGCACATCCAATGACCGTGCCGGAGTTTGAACTCCAAACACCTGACATGCGAGGCGAGCGTGTTAGCACTATTTGTGGTTTAACGCAGCGCATGTGGAATTGTGCGTTAAAAAGTAAACTGAAGACTGAATACAGCCTTGAGATCTGTCTTAGAGCTGCGATAACCTGTCGAGTGAAACAGAAAGTTCGGAAAACGTGAACGCTGTCAAACAATCAGATCAGTAAAGAGAGGCAGTGTACGGGTGGCTTTTGTCGAGACTCTTTCCGCTCATATTTGGATAAATGAATGCTTTGAGAGCAAAAGTGAAGCGGAGCTATTAAAATAAAAAAACTGTCAAAGTACAAAAAGTCAGTGTTCAACAATTCAGTGAACACATCAGGACCGAAGTCGGATGAACCGAAGCATGGAGTTTGGAAACGCGTAAATAATGTATTATGTCGCTACGTATGAAAGACAGAGCTAGCTGGGATATTACTGTGTGAAATGGGAGTGATTCAGTTCTTTGCTTGATTATCCCAAATGTATGGAAACTGTTGACGTCATGCGATAAACTAGTGCCGTGATAGAATGAGGAGGAACCAAGTTTAAACGTTTTGGGTTTTTGCGCGACGCTAAAATTAAATCAGGATTTAAATCGCCCCGATTCATCTGATTAGGCACAATTCAGGAATTTCCTTTGGCTGACAAATCGATACAACTGGACTCATCCCTATTGCTACAAATTCCAGTGTACATTTGACAAGACGTGATACAAAGTTACTTCAGTTTCATCAAACCGTCCTCTCAGTTGTTCCATAGTTAGCTAATCCTGTGAAGAGAATATAAGGGCAGACGAGAAAAGGAATGGGTGCCTGCTTACTATCACTATTCTTTGGACGCATACGTTTCCAGGCAATCTGGAAGGAGACTAACTAGAATGACACCATTGGCAGCCATATCTTGCAGTACCTCCAACGAAGTGCATCCGAGAGTTTTGCGGGCCCTTCAAACATTTGATTGATTGCGCAACAGTAAACGAACGCGAAAAACTCCACTTTTCACGGCAAACAATATATCGACATATGCAAAAACTACCTGTTTAGAGCCCCTTCCATTGCTGGACGCATTCTTCAATGAATGTCCCAAAACCTTGCTTTCCAGTTGGCTTATTTTTGATTAGCCAAACAGAATTATAGGAGCCTCATTTTCGTTGAAATCCTGAACAGCTCTTAGTTGCAATGCTCAAAGGGACCAAGTCTCACAGCCATGCAATAATACAGCCCACACCCTACCCTAACACACACATTTGCTTCGAAATTCAGAGGTATACCGCGTTCACGCGATAGTTAACCGCGACCGGAGCTTAGAATGTGTGCACAATCCTTATCTGTCACACTAAAATCGGAACAAAAAGAACAACTTCAAAGTACGTAGACAGCTCCGAAAATTCCAGCACCTCTACCTGGATCCTAAGCAACCGCATGTTCAGCAGCAGGACGCTTAACATTTTGGTTGTAGAGGGACGTTATCTGCACGTTCCCCTCCGGGGGGTTTCCTCAGCAATAATTTGAAGGCCAGGGAGCTGAATAAATTTCAGCGTTCGTCTCATTATCCTATCCATCACAAATTTAAATAGGAATAAAGATGAAATTTCAGAAACCGAATTCTGTCTAGGTTGAGGAGTAATTTCTTCATAAACTAACAATTGTTGCCTTGATTGCTTACAAGCGATCACCAAAATGCCTAATACAATCAGTACGAAAACTGTGAACAGTACATGGAGAATGATCTCTTCGAATCAAGTTACCAAAAATTTTGGCTCTCAGATCTTTCGTTCTCTTTCTAATCGGAGAGTATCTATGGGAGGTTGGAAAGCCCCTGCAGTTTGCCCCCCGCCGATTACAGCAGTAGTCTCACGTCCTGAGGGAAATCGAACAGTCTTTAGACTTCTCCGGGTTCTATTGATTCCACTATGCATTCGGTGCCATAGAGGCTAAGTTAACCCCGTTCAGGAATATTTTATATCTATGGCTCATTAGGAAGATCCACCTCATAGTGGGTCTACTAGTGTCTGCGAATCTAATGGGGTAACGAAAACTCTCCGACGCATCTAGCAGTGAAAACTTACCTTATCATGTATTGGCTGAGCGGTAAAAACGCATTACCAATATGCTTAGCCAAAGGCCAGTGGGCGTAGTGACGTTTATTCCCTGAGTGATGTGATGTCCTGGGTGCGTTCCTGGGTATTCCACCGAAAACATGTTACATGAGGACATCAAGACATCTAGAGAGAGTTCCCAGTCGCCTGTGGTCCGTATTCCGTGAGCAGTCGTTGTATACTGAGACACCACCGACCTGATGACAGATAACCCGCTCCCACCAAATCTTCACTGAAAACACCAAAATCACCTTCTACTACCCCGGATTATTCCTTCCAGGGAAAAAATGTATCAAGTGAGTCAAAAAGGCACCATTGAACGATACGCTGAGATTCTGCTGCACTATGTGCAGGTGATCTAATTCGAACCAACCGGCACAAGAGGCGCGAGCAACACTGAGCTGCACTCACGTATGCTCAATCTGTTAAGATCAGACACCTACAGGAGCATAGATTCGACAGCATTCAAGATGATACATTGTGCAATGTGGAATCACACTATCCTTCATTCAAACTTCGGTACAGAGAGGAAAATGGCTGGCTGGATCCGTTTCAAACGGCGGGGCTTCGCGATCAACTGAGCAGGTTGGTACCAAATAAAGATGTTTCAAATTACGGATTCTGATGTGAAAAGCCAAGGGATTCAACATACTTTCTGGCTAACCGAAAAACTAATGTTTCCTGCTCATTCATTAGTGACATCACAATGAGAATATGGCTGATTTGTGAAAAAAAAACAACTTTTTCCGGCAGCGTCAAAAGAATCAACCGTTATTATAGCAGGAAAGATCGAAGATAGAGGTACGCAAACCTCTTATGGACTGTGTGTTACTCCACCTGGTCGAAGTTTATAGTTCATTTGGATCCGAGGTCAAAACAGTCAAGGTTATATGTTGTGATAATATTTCCAATGAATCGCGCACCACATATGTCGATTTGGATGTCACTTGTAGCAGACTAGGCGTGGAAATCGCGCTCTCTGATCTGACATAGGCCCCATAGAGTAATTGGAAGTCCATGTGAATAATAACGGAGGTGCGCCGAATCATCCATGAAACGGCGAATGCCTTTTAGGCCAGTTTCTTATGGTGCAGCCAGAATGACAAGTTTGAGGAGACCCAGATTCTCAAATCTTTTTTGGCGTCTCTTCTCATGATGTTTTCTCGTGTGAAACCAACCCATAAGTACTAGGTTTGACAGGGTTTAAGGGGGACATGTTGTGGGGCAATGACAGATAGGAAACGCATGCAGTGCACTTCGTGGTCCGGACACAGAAGTATACGTGGACAAACGGTTGATTGCGATTCAAATTCACAACTCGCAGAATCACCTGCAGACCCACCATATTTTCTGTACGCTGCATAAACGTAGGTTGACTCTCTGGAGATAGTCCGTAGTCTGAATATTAGGCACATGCTTACAAGGGGAAGAATGGCTACGTGACGTTTAAATGGCCATGAATGGAGCTACAGAGCGCAAGAGCACCACGGATTTATTGAACACGATCCAGCATCGAGTGTCGAAGACTGAAATCGCCGATGAATAAAATCTTTTAAAAGAAAGTAGGAAGAAACAAAAGTGATGCGTTCTTGCATGTATCCAAATGGTGTGGCACGCGTTTTGAACATAACATTGCAAGCGTCACCGTGTTAAGTAAGCGTTCTTCAACGAACTGTTGATTGTGAGAGATAATCTTTGGGCAAATCGACAGTGAGTCAGTGCCTGGAGTTGACTGTCAGTCCGAACACAGTTTAGCGGTCCGACTTCATTATATTTGCAACATAGGATTTGGCGCAAATCAGTATGAAAATAGAAACTCACCGTGATTTGCTACGCGGAATATTTCGTGGAAATCATTTTGAGGTAGGTGACCTCAGGACGCTCTCTGGTCTTGCCTCTAGACTTGCTCGACGGAAGTATTAATTCTTACTATGATTTTGTCAGGCTTAGCCTGACATGGTGTGTAAAATCGCTCAGGTGGTTGAGGATAACTTATAGGAATCTCCTATTTTAAATAAAATGCGAAGCAACCGTTTGTGGTCTACGTCGTCCAGTCTGGCTGGAAATTTTGTCCGTATCAGACGCTTCGTCACCCGCGATAGACGGAAAACGCGTTTACTCGCGCTCGCAAAATGGGTCCCGACTATGTGAACCACGGTAAATGAAACGTGCTGATTTAAGAAAATTACAAGAAAATTACAAGGAAATTACAAGCGAGTGCTCAAATTCAATTGAAATAATAGCAATTACGTGCAATCTTCACCGTAACTGATGCTGCTGCATTTGTGCGGTACCCGAAAAAACTCCACTCGCCTAAGTATCTCCGAAAAGGGAGCTAACAATGCCGAAAAAGTATTTTGCTTGCTGCTGTCCGTCTTGGTACACACAACAAATTCTGCGTTGTCTGCGAGGTCTGCCTTAGGGTCTGAGCATCGATGGCTGCGCGAAAATCAACTTCAAATTTCAGCGACCGTGGTTATATTCAATTGGAATTTGTTGAAGTAAGCTGTTCTCATGAATGCTGAATCTTGCTTGACAGCCTACCACTGCTTACGATTTTCTTATGACTCAATAGGCAGACGCCATGTTGCAGTTTCCACCACTCTTCTGTTCAACGGTAAACCAGATTACATAAGATTCAGAAATTACATCGATGTCCTTTCTCTGCTTGTAGTTGCCGTTTTTCATACATATTAGTTATAGTTAGTTACTTACATAGTTATTAGTTATTAGTCAGTTACATATATCCGCGGGCTGAAATAGTAGACACATCATTCTGAATCACAAATATCTTGATCCGCAAAGCAAAGTAGCTCAAGCCAATCTATCTAGCATTTCAGTAGTTCCCGCGGTTTTCAGTGCGATTTAGTATTGTTTCAGAGCGTATTTACCACAAATGCCAGAGTTCACTGTATCCACGACAAACGCAGTGAAAAACATTTTAACTGAATTTCTAATGAGTAATATTTTTCGTTCCATCAAATCGGCCTAGATACGGCAAAGTTTCACAGATCGGGGTGGATAGATTTGGAAGCATGCAATCAGAAGAACTGGAATTCACAATCCAGAGTGAATGGTCAACTAGATTATGGATGACTAATTGAGGTCACATCATTTTGTTCGCTGGCCTATAAACCGATATTTTCATGCAATCGTGAACTAACTGTCCTGTGTACTAAGTTATGACAAACTAACCATGAACATTTGATTCGCGTGTAGCGCGTTCTGTTTCAAGGGACAAAATCAAACCTGCAGAAAACTATTTGCTCTAAAACTGTGACAGTTGAAAGCCCGTTAGTTTCTTTGCTCAAGGAATGTCTAATATTTGATATTCGGGCTGAAAATTTGCGCGTTTGCCGTAATCTGGCAGAGGAAAACGCAGGTGACATTGTGAAACATGCGGAAATTGTCCCCGAATTCTTTTAATCAGAAAACAGTATGCATCATTATGTATTGTGACTTGGATTGCGATCGTTTCAACTAATAGCGACACCCGAAATTTATCGTGCTTACCTCTCCACTCCAACAGCCTATATCAGCCATTTCCTGCTGCAACTGAACGAATCACTAGTGTGTGGGGGAAATCCGATAATACATCATTGGTGTCCACAAAAAACAACGGTAGCTATAGCATTCTTACAATTGGCGGGTTGTATAACAAGGGCTTATCGCAAGAATACTGGATGTAACCTGCTGATTTATTCAAAACGGAATCTATTGACCGCCGTTTTACGAACTCAGGCGGTCCCGAATCAAAATACACTGGATGCGTCCACGTGAATCATGAGATTAATTCCACCAACGCGGCAAATCCTGAAGTTCACGCGCCTCCATTTCATGTATTCACGCACGATGCTTAGTTACAGTAGGCCTGCATAAACAATGAAACGAATGCGCGGCTTTCGGCCAGGTGAAGGAATCGGATCCTTCGGGAGCTCAACGGGAATTGGAATGTGCGAAATGGTTTAATTAAATCTTTTGAAATACATTCGAACCGGAGCTGCTCATAAGTTGACCTCGCTTACATCCACAAAATAATAGGTGGTTCACAAGGCGAAACTATGAGACCCGAAATGTACTCGCGTCGTAGGATCAAACTTGTTTAGTTTCCCGCGCTTCAGGACGCAGTGTGGTTGATCTTGTTTACCCTTATTTAAGGGGATGGCTCATGTTTTGTCACCCTGTGACTATTTCACAATCAATATTTCAACTCAAATAGAGAAGCTTTCGCTCAGGAACCTAATACATTTGCTATGCACGCATATCCAGCTGCGCTGGTCACTGCGTCGCCAGATTTGCACAACCAGAATGGCGAAGAAGCAAGGGGCGGTCTGTTTAATTACAGCACATGGGTCCATGCTGTTTGTATGAAGAATGATCCCGTGTAGGAAAGCCGCTTTTTGTCCTGTTTGCTACATTGTGTGAACAATTATGTCAGCTAAGAGGGCTGGAAAACACAATTGGAAGTGTTTGAGCGCCTGTTGTGAGCATGAAGCACGGCGGTCAGTCCTAATGGTGGAAGCTGTGGAAGAAGTATGCAGTTTTGTAAGATTATTAGAAGAGAAATTACTTCTTGGACTATGGACTCATCAGACTGCGCCACTGTGAAATAAGACTCATTGATTGATTACGTAGAACTTCTCGCGGGACCGCATATTGCCGGGAGAATAGGCTCAAGGAATTGACTTGTTTTCGACGCCGAAGGCTTTCACTGCAACGGCGCCCACAATGTCACTTCTAGAAAATACTTTCCAAGCTTCCATATCGCGGAGGTGTGAGAAAACATGCACGATGGCACCGAAATCGTTCTGCTTGTTCTTGATTGCGAGAAGTCAGAGAAAATGTGGAGATTCCCAATATGTTTGCCTACTGATTGTCGACTACTGAGTGACGTGATTTCATATATGAAATGTCTTACTGTCGCAAGAGACCAGCTAAGCGGAATCTCCCACAACGACTTTTGAAACACTGGAAAGTGGTCGCCCTCATGTTGAACGGCTCATCTGGATATCTCAACTTTGTTAGTAACTATCGTACATTCGAGAAAATATTAGTGCGTCGACCCAATCCATGTTAACGAGCGATGGGAACAGAAGGCTGCCGTTCTCACAAATCCTAAGCTCCGGCATCTTTAGCGTTATCTTCGTAAACGGGCCAATATGATTGTCACTGGAATTACGAGCTGCTGTATGTGGAATTGTCACGAACATTTTGTGCGTCACTAGATGTTTGATCCGAAAAAGAAAGAAAGAGCAGGTTAAACAGGCTTCAGGAAGCGATCCCAAACCAATACGTTTCAGCCTTTCAATAATAATTCAAGATTTTCCTCCCTTTCTTAGTGTTGGATCACCGAAAGGCAGCTTATTTCACCTTCAGTGTGAAGATGTGAGTGTGCCAAATATTATGAGAAAATTTTCTGAGATGGTTCCAGATATATGGGGAGGGTGCATCGGGACGCTGCTGGTTAAACCGACCCGAGTGGAGTTGGCCCACTGAGAATTACTCAAACGCCAACAACAATGCCGCTCTACTATAATCCTGAGTAAATTATTAGAAATTCACCTATTACCAAAGAGTGCAATGCAACGACACCTGAAAGCGCAACTGAGATAGCGGACAGTGTATCCGTGACCTTGTCAAAATCGTCATAACACCTATGTTTGCGGGACCATGTAAGTATCTTTTGGGAAATATCTGCATGGAAACAAAAATGGTGACTTTCCAAACCTTCCTCGTGTTCGTGGTCTGTGAAAACAACCGACAAGTACGAGATTGGACAGAGTTTGAATGGGACATCAGTCTTCGCCAGTGCCCTGGAAACTGTATGTTGTGGGGCAAAGTCAGATTGGAAACACATGCAGTGCACCTCGGGGTCCGGACACAGAATTATATTTTTAGGAATATACGTAGAAAAACAGTAGGTTGCGATTCATATTCACAGCTCGCAGGATAACCTGCATGGGCGACGTTTATATTGCCATGAGCGGAGCTACCGAACGCTAAAGCACCACGGCCTCATTGAACAGCAGCCAGTCGAAGAATGAAATCTCAGATGAATAACATCCTTTGAATGGAAGTAGGAGGAATCCTAAGTGATGCGTGCTGGCATGCAGCCAAGTGGTTCGGGGGGATATAACGTTGCAAGTGTCACTGTGTCCAGTGAGCATTCTTCAACAAACTGTTCATTGTGAGTAGTAATATTTATGCAAATCAGCAGTCAGGTGATGTCCAGTGTTGGCCGTCAGTCCGAACACAGTTGGCGATCCATTGCCAATGTATCATTTACGAACTTACGTCCGATTTGATTAGATTTGGAGTATAGGATTTAACGCAAATCAGCATGAAAATAGGAACTCGCCGTGATTCGCTACGCGGAAGGTGTCGCGGAAATCACTTTG